ATCGTAAAAACCCGAAAGGGTATACGAGAAGAAAAAAAACATTATATTACGTTTTCGAAGGAAAACTTGTGAGGAAACAAAATGTTTAGAGATTAACATCTAATTATTACGTTTAATTATCGCCACGGATTTCTGTGCCAATTCTGACGCGATAAGACGTCTGTCCTCGAGGAAGTTGCGTCGTTCACCAACAAAGAAGGCTTGTTGTCTTGACCTCTATTTATCTTGCCATCAATCATCATCTAGATATTTTCAATCCACACTTTGCGGAATATACACGTTTGCCAATTTCCGAAAATTTTCATGTTCGAGTTGGTGGAGAGATTCAAATCGGGCTAAGGTCACGTCCGCAAAATATCATCTACAAGTTTACTATTTATTGGCGCCATCTACTGTTTCGCTCTTCTAATTTTGCGTGGCAAGATTACTATTTTACCGAGAAAAAGAATTATTAAAATTTTTTAATTATGAATAAATATAAGACTTTTTTCGGTCATTTTTCTTTAATTTTCCTTCTTAAACAATCGTCTACCAAATTATAAGCACAGTTATTGAATGTGACATTTTCTGGCTTACCGACTGCGGTGGAAGTGAAGAAGTCCGAGTGTCGTAAGATCGATAGACATTTGCTCCATGATTTCTGGATCCATTCAGAGAACCGTAGCCAGGGGTTGGGTTGTTGCCCACGTGGTGATGCTGGTGAACTCCCTCAGGAGAAATGGTGTTCTGCAGGTCAGCCAACAAAGCATCTGGAAATGATGAAATTCAACGAAATAATCAGATTGGGCATAAGTCCGTAATTTTGGTCCGTAAACATACAATGCTTGAAATTTCTATTAAAAATATTATAACGGGGTGCCAAAGATGCAGATAAAATTCAGAAAAGAAATAAGGCTCGAATTTTCTATGCCTTTTGAATCCTTCCACGAAAGTTTTGCGCAGTGTCTATTCACACGGTCCACGGCAAATTTTACCGTGGATAAAAGGTAAATCTTACCGTTGATGTAAGGTAAATCAGTGGTGTGCATCGGGCCCATTTTTACCGTGGATATACGGAAGATTTTTCATTGTGGATATAAAGTAATTTTTGTTACCGTGCATATAAGGTGAATGAATGGCGTGTAATATGGATACATTTTTTACCGTGGATGCAAGGGAGATTAAAGGAGGATCAATTAAAATGGTCATACAAAAGGGTCAATCGAAAGGATACAAGGGAGGGTCAATCAAAATTATCACAAGGGAGGGTTACACGGGTCACGAAAAACAAGTCGCTAGGGTCACAAGGATCACAGAAAAAAAAGGATTCCTTAGGATCACAACGGTCACACAAAAAAATGAGTCGCTAGGGTCACGAGGGTCACTGCCTTGTTTAAATGCATTTTTGACTGAAAATTGTTTTATGAGATTTTTTTTGATTGATTTTTTTCTGATAAAATTGCAACAACAATAGCAAAAATTTAGTCAAAAACGCATTCAATCACGGCAATGTCACCGTTGTGGTCGTGACCCTTGTGACCCTAGCGACTCTTTTTTTTGCGTGACCCTTGTGACTTTCGTAACCCTAGCGACTCCTTTTTTATGGCTCTTGTGATCCTCCCATGAGGTTGAAACTGTCGAATGACATGCACAACTTTTGGAGCGGACCGTCGACGCTGCAAGGTGACCGCGGGCGGGGGTCGACTCTTTTATCCCTAATTTTCTTATCTGGGGAATGAAGGTTGAAGATCCCATCTGAGCAATCCCCATCCCTCTTTATGCATGCATCGTTTACGTAAAAAAGGCAATTGTTGAATTTTTTTTTTAAATCTCGAAAATTGACATTTCAGAAGTGGTTGAAGGAGGGACGGATGTATGCGGAGGGTCGAAATTTTTATCCAACAAGGAGAGAGGGGTTGCAGAATCTATTCTATTCAGCCCTGATCCCTCCGTTTACATGCGTTGTTCAAGTAAAAAATGGAATTGTTGAATGCAAAAAAAAATCTTAAAAATTGAGACTTCACGAGAGGGAGCGATATATATATGCAACCCTCTCCCCTTGTTGGGTATAATTTTCAACTCTTCCTCCTCCACCCCCTCGAGAAATCACAATTTTCGGAATTTTTGTTCAAAAATTCAACTATTCTATTTTTTATTTAAACATCGCATGCAAACGGAGCAATGAGGCTGGTAAGAATAGATTCTGCAACCCCTTCCCCTTATTGGGTAAAATTTCAACCCTCCGCATACATGCCTTTCCCTTCCAACCTCTCGGGAAGTCGCGATTTTTGAGATTTTTTTTGTTCTTTATATCCACGATAGAAAATACCGTATTTACGCTGTAAAATAGCCCCTATATTCATGGTAAAATTTACCGTGGACCGTGTGAATAGACACTGCCACAGTTCTGATAGCTGCTGAAAACCCATCACGAGATAATCCAATAGTAATTTTTGAAATTTAACAAAATCTCTTTTTTTACGGAAAATTTATGTTTTCCACAAAAAACAGAGAAAAGCTTGAAACTTTAAAAAATTGTTTTTAACAAATTGACTTTTTGAAATTGTGATTGAATGATACATGATGCTGAGTGACCGTAGCAGCAGTGTCAAAAAAGTTCATTTCCTCATGAAACTTTTCGTAATTTTTGCACTTCTAGATCCACTCCGTCGATGTACCAGTTAATGCCACCTAGGGACGAGTCCGCTAGTATTTTATGTAAGTTATATATATTTTCAGTGGTAGGTTGAATTTGGTTGACGTAGGGGCAAGTTTATAGTTTTTTCTTCGAATTCTAAACGTTATTTATGTGCAAATATGGAAAAATTAATTTAAATTAAAGTTTGAACAGAAGACTCTCCTGCGCCAGTTTATGCCACCCTCAAAACGACTCGTGCCAGTTTCTGCCATGGCGGAGGGCCAGTTAATGCCACTGGATTGAAAAATCGTCTTTAATTATTAGGAGAAAGTTAAATAATCATTTATTCATAAAAATCATAACAAATCTTTCTGCAGTACATCAGATTCAATACGGAACATGACAAATAAAATTATTCTTCAGGTTTTTTCGACATTACTATCGCACTTCCAACGTCAGTCTCGATCTCTCCTGATCCATCAATAAGCTCTTTCTTTATTGCTTTGGCGATGATTGGCGATTCATTGCTGATCGCTTCTTCTTGCTTGCTTCCAACTCGAACTCCAGTTTTGGTTGACTTATTCTTCTTCGAGAATTTTGCCTCTTTATCAGCGGTTTCCTTCAATTTTTTAGCTTCTCTCATCTCTCTCTTCATTCTTATCTCTCCCATCTGCTTTTGTTTTTGCTCTTGTCGAGCAGCTTTTGCCATTTCTCGATTTTTTCTCTTCAATTCTTGAACGTTAACTCTCTCTTTCTTAATCCTCGCTCTTTCTAGTGCTCTCTCAGCCTTCTTCAAGTCTTCAGCGGATTTCAGTGCTTGTTTAGCTTCGTGGAAGATCTCCCAATCAGCAGAAACAGCCACTGATGGCATTTTTGCCTTAACCTCGGCGTTTATGGCTCGTTTACCCTTCCCTCTAGCTGGATCAGGTACCAGGAGTGCTCTTTTAAAAGGAGATGGAAAATTTGGAATAGGATAATTGATATTTTCTTTTGTAGGGGTCTTTCCCGGTTTGGAAATAGAAGAGATGCCACCAGTGGATTGAGTTTCGAGTTTTTCCTCCACTTGCACTTTTGATTGTTCGTGAGATTCAAGATCGGAAGTTCCCAGGATGTTTTCGGTGTCATCCTTCTGTTCATCTGGGAATGGCTTAGATAGATCGTGCAGATCTGCTCTCACAATACTCTCATCAGTGATGACATTTTGATTATCATCAATAGTCAGTTTTGGAGTTATGTTAACGTCTTCAGCAATGGGTTCCGAGACTTTTTTACACTCAATTTCATCTCTCTCATTGTCTATCCCAGTAGATTCTGTCGGTATGTCTCGCAGCTCGTGTTTTGGTGTCTGAGACTGTGCGTGTAGTACACTCACCCTCATAGAATCTTCTAGACCTGTGTCAGGAACTTGCATCAACTTCCCATCCTTAGAAATTTCAAATAAGACTGGTTCTTCAGTTAGTATAAACTCCGACAAGTCAGCTTCTGTGATAAAAGAGTCGATGATGATTGGGGACGAGACTGACGCGTTTTCTTCAATATTGAAGGGTTCATTCGAACTTTGATATTCGTTGTTCGTTTCCTCTTGCTGACCCTGTGAAATTAAAAGACGACACACACAACTTGAAGAATAATACCTACATTTTAATAGATCTCTACTCAATTCAATAATTAAAACGCGATCAATGAGTGCCCTCAATCAATTCGCAGCTCAGGATCTATATTTCCAAAATTATTGATCTAATCAAAGCTACATGTATGCAAATACCGGAGTTCTTGTCGAATCGTCCTCTTGTTCTTGGTAACTGTTCTCAGAAGTCCCGCTGTTCTCCATTCCCTTCATTTTCCTCCATACATGAAAAAGACTTCAATTCGATGGATTCCCCATCCACTCCTCCTTACTCTCCCTGAAGCTTTTCAAAACATCTTTATCTATGTGACTTTCCATCACTTCCAAAGCATCCACCGTAGAATTTTCTTGTCGAAGTGTTGGGGTAAATGGAGGAGGCTTAGAACCTTTGAAAAATCTCTGGTAATTAATTGAGTCTGCAGAGAAAGGATGCAAACCCGCAGCTCGAAACCCATTTTTCAAAATAGACTCCCATTTCAATGTGTCAATTGCTTTCTTCATCAGCCCTCCGAATTTCTCTAATGGTAAACGATCGCCATTATTCTCAAACCTCCAATCTCGCACGACTTTCGCCCAAGCAGCTTTCAAAGGTTTGAAAACTGCTACATCCATCGGTTGGAGGATATGAGTCGCGTTTGGATGTAGTGCAGTCAATATGATCTTTTTTTCCTTGCAAAACCTGCTCAGCGAATATGTTAAGTAGGATACATGGCCATCGACATATAGAATTACTGGAAATTCTAACATCGACATATAGAATTACTGGAAATTCTATGTTATTGTCGATTAACCATTTGTAGAAAATTATTGAAATCCAGTCGGAAAATGATTTAGCAGTTTCCCAGCCGTTGTCTGTGTGTCCAATAGCCCAATCTTTAGGGAATTCTGATGAAATGCGACGAGGAATTTTCTGATACTTAAATAATACCATTGGTGGTATTATTTGGCCGGCTGCATTTCCGCAGAAGAGAGTTGTGAGGCATTCTTTGTCGTCATTTTTAACGTATGAATACGCTGTTTTGTCGCCTTTTTCTACCAGGACATTCCCTGCTTTTGGAGCCAACAGAAACGAAGACTCATCACAGTTAAATACTCTTGATGCATCGATGTCCAACACACCCTCTGCCTTAAACTGCTCCTCAACTTCTTTAAACCAAGTTCGAATACTTTCCTCATTCAGACAAGCTCGAGAATACTGTAAATTTTGAGATAATTTCTCACAGAGCTCAGGATGTCGTTCTTTGAAGCCGTCGTACCAACTACGTCCTGGTGTATTTTTTGTAAAAACTTCTTCTCTTCTCTTCATTTCCCTCAGCAACGATTTAATACTATTTAATAACTGATATTTGCCAACTGGAAATCCTCGCGCACTCATCACTATGATCCACTCCACTAGTCGAGCTTCAATGTCTTCGCCTAGGATGCAGGGTGGCCCTCTCCTCTGGATCACAGGCTTCAAAATCCCATTTTTCTTGTACCTCAGGGTAGTTCGGGGAATGTTGAAG